GCTCGTACACCAGCCACACGTAGCGGTGCAGCCCTGCGGAGGGACGGACAGACCCCATCAAAACCCTGCAGCACAGCTGGCTCGGGCTCGCTGGTCAGGCACAAGGTTTTATTATCGTTCCTTTCTTTCCTTGCTAGCTTTGTGAGGAAATCCTTTCTTCTGTTCTTCTAGTACAGTTTAAATATATCATTTTCTTTTAATATAATATATATAATAATATCTTTTCTCCTGAGAGGCCTCAGAAATCAGTTGCAAACATCAATTATCTGCTGCTGTGGAATGCAACAGGTGCATCTGTGATTGGTCTCATGCAGTTGTTTTTAATTAATGGCCAATCATAGTCCAGCTGTCTCAGACTCTGTGGTCAGTCAAAAGATTTTATTATCATTCCTTATTATTCCTTGCTAGCTTTCTGATTAAATCCTTTCTTCTATTCTTTTAGTATGGTTTTAATATATCATTTTCTTTTCTTATAATATATATTGTAAGATAATAAATCAGTCTTCTGAACCATGGAGTCAGATCCTCATCTCTTCCCTCATCCTGGGGCCCCCGCGAACACCACCACACCCCAGGTGAGCCCACAGCTGCCCAGGGAAGGTGCACTAAGGCTGGATCCCTGCTTTGTGCAGCCCCCAGCAATCCTGCATGGATTGTTCCTGCAGGGCTCTCCCCACCCTGCTGCACTGCGTGTGATCCACACAGCACCCAGGAGCTGCTGCAGCTACCGACCTGTTCCCTTGGGAGGCCCGGAGCCAACGTAATCCGACATAACAGTCCCGCTGCCCACGTTGTTGCCCTTCATGTTGGTCACCAGGAAGTGATGCCACTCCCTGAAAGCACAAGGCACAGAACAATCTGGCAGAGCCACAGATAAGAGCAATCTTTGTCACTCCAGCTGCGGTTTCTCCATGAGGCTGTCAGCATGGAGTAAACAAAGAGCTGCCACTCCTTGTTTACCAAACCCAAAAAACACCAGTCCCAGAGCAGGCACCACCGTGTTGGGATGCACAGCCTGCCAAAACCAGCCCCATGTGGCTGCAGGAAACCCACACCTGACCTCTGAGAGTGAGGATTCTACACACTGCTGAGGCTCACTTGAGAAAGGTGAGCTGGTCCCAGATTTAATAGTCTGCTGCCAGCAAAGACCTAATTCCAACTCACATATGTGCTAAATTAGAGCAAGCAGTAAATGCTGTGCTGCTCCAGCTACAACAGACTTTGAGCATCCTTGATAAGAGCAGCTGCTCCTCCCCATGCTGTCCCTGGCTCGAGGAGAGATGCAAGGACACGACTTCTATGACAAGGCACGGCCCCACAGCTGCACTTTAGGCAGAGCACAGCCCCACCTCCTCCTTAAGCCTCTGCTCAGCCCAAGAGAGACGCTCCTTTTTCCCCACGCAGGACACGGAGCTGTGCATCCCCACTACCTGAACTTCGGGTCCTTCCGACTGGGCGCATCAGGGTCCGTGAGAACCAGGGTGTAAAGCTTCTGGGGATCGCAGCCGTCCCACTCGATGCTGGTGGGGCGATGCTGGACCTGCAGGGGTGACCGCGTTAGCGCCGGCCGCGCTGCCAGCGCCAGCCACCTGCCCTGCACACGGGGCCAGCACGGCCTGCGCTGGCAGCGGCACCTGAGGGCTCAAAGGCCATTCGTGCCAGCTCGCCCTGGCTGTGAGAGCGACGGACCTTCTACTGCGGCACGGCCCCCCCCACAGCAAGGCCGCCCCCACAGCTCAGCCCCTCTCTGTGCTCCGCACCCGGGGAAGCTCCAGCCGCAGCTGCCGGAGCCGCAGCGCAGGAGGCCCGGCCGCATCCCGCCATTTTGCCGCGCCAACCCCCACGCGCAGGGCCGGTTTGCTCACCTGAGTGGGCGTGAGCACCTTGCCCAGCTCGTCGATCTCCACGGAGCCATACTTGACCCTCAGCGGGTGCGCTGGCTTCTGCTCCACCTCGGAGAGGCTCAGCGGCCCGTCCCACTTAGCCAGGTCCACCGGCATGGCGACGTTTGTGGCTGCGACGGCGGCGGCTCCGAGCGGCCCGAGCCCCTTGGCGGAGGCACCGCCCCACTCCTCTCCCATTGGTGGAGACGCCGCTATACTCCCCTCCCATTGGTGGAGACGCACCGCCGGCCTCTCCCGCCCCCACTCCATGGCGCCCCCAGGCGGAGTCAAGGGGGACCGGCCGAGCTCCTGTTACCTGGGCCAGCGCTGTCCTCCCTACCGCTAATTAGGTTAATTAATAATTAATGTACCAGGGCCCAGTGGGGCAACCTTGTGGGTCTCAGCGTTCTGTTTCACGCACGCCTTTGTGCTTCCAAGCTGCCATGTGTAAGGTGTCCTGGAGAAACCCGAGCATAGTTACGTGGTTAAGGTCCTCGCTGCGGGGTTACACAGAGGCACAACCATTTATCTCTGCTCTTCCCGCTCCGCGGTTTGTGCGGTGTCTCTGAGTGGGTGGATTAGAGCAGCTCTCTGGACGTGCGGGTCGTTTACCGCTCAGAGAACACTGCTTAGGGAACCCCGCTCAGCACACACCGCGCTCTCCGGTTCAAGCACTCCCGGGCCGTGGGCGGCACCGGGGGCAGCGCCAGCGCCGCTCTGCTGGGGCCGCCCCACATGGCTGAGGAAGGGGGGGGGTGAGGTGACCCCAACATGGCGGGCGACTCCACGTTGGGGGGGAGGGAGAGGGGTCTCAAGATGGCGGCCGCAAGAAGCGGGGGCTGTGAGGCGGCGGGACCCGCTGCATGGACGAACCCCGTCACGGGCCCCTCACGGGCCTGGCGGGCGGGTCCCCCCGGCCGGGCACGCCCGCCCTCCCTTCCCAGGCCTGTCCCCGGGGCGGCGGCCGGGCAGCACCGCCTCCGCAGGGCTCCGGCAGCGGCGCACAGCCATGCAGCGCCTCGGCGGGATGCCGCCGGCGCGGCTCGTCCTCGCCCTTTGCTTCTGGAGGCTGGTGCCGCGCCGGGAGGCCGCAGGTAGCGCGGGCTGAGGGGAGGGGAGCAGCAAGCAGTGCCCCTTTTCCTGATCCTGCTGTGCGCTGGGTGTTTTTAGTCACCCCAGAGGTCCCTCAGCAGTCCCATAACAAGCACCCCAGAGGGCTGACACAGATCAGGTATCCAGGTCTTTGCTGCAGAAGGCGGCTTTGCCCATTCCCTCAATCCCTGACGCCGTCCCCTTTCTCTTGCAGGAACAGATGAAGTGGTTTTTGGACAGGTGGGAGGAAACATCCTCCTCTTGTGCCGCAACGTGTCCAAGGAAGCCACCGAGGTGGTCTGGTTCCAAGGGGATCCGCAATCCTTCCCACCTCTCTTCTCCTCGAGGGTCTCCTTCCCCCCCGATGTCCGCTTCTCCCTGGTGGACAACAGCTCCCTGAGCATCTCCGAGCTGCGTGTGCAGGACGAGGGCAACTACACCTGCAGGGAGGTGCTGAACAAGACAGACCACGAGCACAGGGTGCAGCTCCTGGTGGCCAGTAAGTCATCCCCGAGCTGGGCTTCCTCCCCTCGGCCTTCCACGTCCCCAAATTCATCTGGCACTGGTGGAAAAATAATATTTAGAAAGTGCAGACGGCTTTACGGTGTAGAATCTTTCTCACATCTGCTCACAAGCACCAAAATGTGTGTCCAAATGGTCTGTCATAGATCTAGCATGTGGAGGGGAAATGCCAGCTCTGAAGTCCTTGCTGTGTTTCTTCTTCATTGCTGGTGATAAATGAGTTTTTGGGCACATCTTCCATTCTCTGTAGCTATTCCATTGGGACCTTTTGCCTCTGAGTCTGGCTGACTTGAGTCTCCATAAACTCTTGGGGTAGGGGCTGCTGCTTGCTGTCTGCTTTCCCTTGTTAGCATAGATGTGCTGTGCCATTCCTCATTGCCATCCTTTTAGTGGGAGAACTCTTCCCAGCTGAGGAGTTTTACATTGATGGAAGCACGAAATTCCTCAGGTTTATGTGGGATCAGTGTCCTGGGAGCGTACCTGTTATCAGCACAGGGCAGTTCTTTCAGGCCCTCAGTGTCTTCTTGTGCTCTCTCCCTTTTCCGTGTCTTATTTCATCCATTCATTCCCTTAGAAACGTTCAGAGCGCAGGTGGAAGTCAGGCTGGAAAGCACTCCAGCCAATTAATCCTTCCTGCTTCTGCCAGGGAACCATTTTTTGCCCTGATGCCTCATGTATTCCATGGGAACAGCCCCCTCCAGATCTGGTGCTGCTCTTAGTACCCTCAGGATTGAGAGGAGGGAAAATCTGCTGCTTTTTGGTGCTCTGTACTTCCTTGGCCCTTTCTTTTCTTGCTGCTCTTGCCATGTGTGAGACCTATTTGCCTTCAGGGTGTTCCTTCCTTCTACCTGTGTGTAAACACTGCACCTGTTCTGTACAGATTAACCTCTTGAAAGTTTACAGGAATAAAAATTCTCTTCCTGCAGCAAGGAATGTGCAGATGGGGGTGTGGAAGGGTTGAACCCCAGACTGCTTCAGGGAATAGAGATGTAGGCACTGGGCTGAGGAGTGGGGAGCCCCAGATCTGGAGCACTGGGGCAGAACATCTGGGAGCACTACATATTTATGTGGTGCCAAGTGTTGGTGCTGCACTCTTTACTTCATTAATTAGTCTGGAATTAATTGTATCACTAATGTCTGAGTACAACAAAGGTGATGTGGGCATGGCCTTTGACAGGTGAGGAGGAGATTTCTGGAGATGCTTTAGCTCAGCAGGAGAATCAGTAAAAGGTAGAAGTTTAACCTCTGACCTTTATCAGAGCCCCGTTTTTTTACAACCCCTGTTGGTGGAACATCTTATCCTGGCCTGGAGCAAATTTTGGACTTGGCACTGCTGTGGAAGAGCCTCCCAGGATATGTAGAGGTTGTGTGTGGGAATAACCAGCTGACAGCCCATCCCATGGGTGGTACCAAAAAGTTCTCTTTTTGTTGGAAACTGCACTTTGACAACCCCACAAGCAGTAAACATTCTAGTGACAGGACAAAGGTGCAGCCCTGCCTTGGGCTGTGGTTCTGTGTTTGTTTTGGATGGGAAGCACCTGTGAAGGAGACGTGCAGTTCCACACCTCCAGGGATTCCTTGGCACATCTGTGTGTGTGGGTTGATGCAAGAGCTGTTGGCTCTCCTGGGGGTCAAACCACAGCAGCTCCTTTTTGCTGGTGTTGTGTGAGGTTGGGAGGGTGGAGATTTTTATTTGGTTTGTTAATGTTGTGGGAGCAGATTTCTTTAGACAGAGTTGTGCTGGGAGAGCCTGGGAGTTCAGGATAGAAAGCTGAGGGCCTCAGGGGACTGTTCTGAGCTCAGCACAGAAAGTGCAGCTCTGGCTGGACATCCTGGAGGGACTGTGCCCACCAGGACACCCTGGAGGAGCTGTGCCCCATTGATGTGGGGCAGTTTGTGCCCGTTCAGGCTGACAGGGTGCCCTGTTAACCACAGCCAGGGTTTGGGGTCAGTTTGATCCTCACCAGAGGTGGGACACAGGGAGTGTTGCAGAGAACTTTCTTGCCAGAGCTGGGTGGTTTCAAAGATCACCTGAGGTGTGTGTACAGTTCCTGCAGAGATCAGCCCCAGGAAGGTGTGTTCTTGCAGCTCACGTGAGGGTTTGCCATGATGTTTTTTTAATTAATTCAAGTAGTTTCAAAGTCCTCTGAATAAATGTTCCCCAGAATAAGCCTCAGACATCCCTCTGACACCTCTGGTGTGGGGCTTGTTTTGGTTGGATCTCTTGGTGAGGTCTTCTTGAGCTCTGCATTGGGCACAGTGTGTTAATGCTGCCTGGATCAGAGTCCAGAATCCCTGTGGCTGTTAAATCAGCACGTGTGTGTGTGGATCTGTGTGTGCAAGGAGCAGCTGGGAGAGAGCCAGAACTGTGCCTTGCTCTCAAGTGGTGACTTAGTGGTGGCTGTGCCATGAGCACCAGGGCAGTGGGATTCCATTCTCCTGCTGTGTTTATCTCATTTCCATTGGATAAAGCTGTGGCAATCATTTTTTCCTTCCCTCAAGGCTTGGCTGTGGGGACTGTCACAGCCCCTCCTGGTTCCTGCTGGCTGTCACTTACAGCTGTGCACACCTGGGGCTGTGGGATGCAGGTCAGGGAGCAAGACTGGCAGGCAAACAGCAAAGATTTTTCAATAAGGATGATGACAAATGAATTCCAGCCCTGCAAGTGTTTCTGACCACGTGCTGTCCTTGCTGATAGATCCCCCACAGGCAGCCCCAAAGTGCTGGGCTGAGAGCTCCTCATCAGGGCAGATGCTGCAGCTGTTCTGCAGCTGGCCTGGAGGGTACCCCCACCCCACCCTGCACTGGAGAGAAGAGGGGCAGGACTTGGAGAACTCCAGCTGGGTCATCAGCTCCACCAGCTCCTCAGACACCCACGTGGAGACCCTCAACAGCTCCCACCTCGCCCACAGGAAAGTCTTCACGTGTGTGGGCAGCCACGTGGTGAAGCAGGAGCAGCCTGCCTGCACTGTGGAGATAAGTGAGTGCTTTTGCTGCCTCATTAACTGTAATGAAGCTGGTGAACAGGGGCAGGTGGGTACCCTGGGCATTCCATTCCCTGCTCTCCAGAGCACTGAGGAGGTTGGGGAAGGCAGGAGGTGGCATGGCAGGGCACAAGTGCAGCAGGAGGCACAGGTGTCCATCATGGCAGAGGTGTAGCTGAGCTGTATTTTGGGGCCATCTTCAGGGGCTGACAAATTTCACCCCAGCAGTGTTTTCACCTGTGGAAAGGTCCCACACACCTGTGTGACAGTGAGAGGTGGTTTGGGGGCTGTGGGCAGGGATGAGCTGTCAGGAGACCTTAAGATGATGTTTGGCAAGGGTGGGTTTAAGGGTTGTGTGTGCCCTTCAGGCATCTGAGTGGCTGATGAAAATCCGGGCTGTGATTATGTTCCAAGGGTTGTCAAGGCTTCACAAGAGCTCTGCTGATCCCAAGGGAAATAATCCCTGGGCTGCTCTTCTCCTCTCTGCCACCTGCCTGCTGGCTGCCCTCAGACCATTTTTCCCTGGGGATGTGCAGACAGATGTCAGAAGGGACTGAGCTCTTGAAAGCTGCTCAGGTCACCCCTTGGGAGGCTCCTGAGTGAGCCAAATGCCAAACCCATAGTGCTCCACTCCCAGACTCCTGCCTGCTCCCTTCTCTGTTAATGATTATTAATCAGCCAGAAGCTTGATTGCTCATTATGTTAATTGCCTCCGTTCCCTCCTTGACTCCTGTTTTTCTTTCCTTTTGCCCCGGGGCTGTTCAGAACTCCCTTCCCTGGAGTCTGAGCCCCCTCAGACGTGCTTTGTGGGTGACAACGTGACCCTGACGTGCCGGGTGACCGAGAGCACGCCGGCAGCCCGGCTCAGCTGGCTCAGGGACATCTCCCAGCCCCAGCAGGAGATCCAGCCTGGGGGGAGGTTCCTCATTGCCCAGGAGGGCAACGTGTCCAGGCTCACCATCCAGAACTGCTCCCAGGCCACCGATGGGGGCTGCTACGTCTGCAAGGCCCAGAACCCCGTGGGACTCAGGGAGCTCTTCGTGTGCCTCACGGTGAAACGTGAGTGGGGCTGTGCCAGGAGAGCCTGGGGGTGCTGCACACCTGGGAATTCCTCATCCAGCTCTGTCCCCTCTCTGCAGAGCCGGTGAACATCGTTGGGGTCGTGGGTGCTGTGGTGGTGCTGTCCCTCCTGACTGTTCTCACCGTCACTGGGGTTGTGTTGTACTACAATCCCCTCCTGTGCCTCAGAGGTAGGGCTTGGTTCCTCCTTCCTGGGGCTTTATTCCCAGCCCACTTGTCTCTCCCTGCATGCTGGAGTCAGTCAGGGTTGCCTGTGCCACGTCTGTGCCTCTGCATGGGGGTTGCCAGTGATCATCTGGGGAAAGCACAGGGTTGGCAGGGGTTGTCCAGTCAATAAAACCAGTGTCACTCCCAGTGCTGTGGTAATCACATATCTTCTGAACAGAGAGAGACATAATTCTCTCCCAGAATTTTTCTGGGAAGCTGTGAGAGAGCTCAGAGGAAACAATTCTTATCTTAATCTCTGCAGTGGTTGTGCATGTGTGGAATGTGTTATGGGGATTGTTTACCAAAGAGTGATTCCTTAATTGGACTTTGGTGATAGTGTTTTAATTCATTGACCAATTCATTGATCCATGTGTGTATATCAGACTGTTTGGCAAGGGTGATGGGTTTTATATGTATTATAGTATAATATAGTATATTATAGCATTGTGTGGTAACAATAAAGCATTGATCAGCCTTCTGCAATCACAGAGTCAATGCTCATGATTCCCCATTCAGGGGCACACTGCTGCCATACAGAGGGGCAGTTTCTAATGTCGTCTCTCTTTTCTCTCCCGTTCAGGTGCTGCATTCAGGTGAGTTGACATTCCTCTGCCCAGCCCCTCATGGCATCGCTGCTCAGCCTTCCTGTAGGGCAGAGAACAGGCTCTCCTCAGCCTTTCATCCAGCTTGCTCTGCTCTTCCCAGGAATGCAGACTCAGGGGATGTCCTAGTGCTGGTGGACTCTGAAGATGACGAGGAGGGGAAGGGGTCTGAGGAGGCCCTGAGCAGCTGCACCGAGCACGAGGCCGTGGCACTGGTCAGTGGGAGCAGGGCCCAGGCTGCTCACCTGAACCACCTCCCAGAAGGTGAGGAGCCCCTGCTCTCTGCTGAGCAGCTGCCAGGGAGGGAGGAATCCTTGCTGGCTGTTGTAGCTGAGATGCTGCTGCTCTGTGCCCTGTGTAGGTGATGATGATGAGCTCCACAGTGGGGTCTCTGCACAGGATGTGAGAGAAGAGACACGAGGCTCATAGCTCCTATCCCTCCTTGAGGAAGCACACGGAGCTCCAGCTGGAATCCAGCATCAAGCAGGCCCTCACTATGTGTGGCTGAGCACAGGCTGTCAGTGTCCTGTCCCAAGACACTTCAGGCACCTCTCTCTCCACCTGCCACTTCCACAGTTTCACTCCATCATTCTCCAGCCATGTTTCTCTATTTCTTCTGTCTTCCATTTTCCTCTTTGTCTTGGGTGTTCCTAAAACAAGGTGGCACCCAGCACAGGCAGAGCATGGGAACACCCCCTCACTTCAGTGCCTGTGACGGACTCGAATTCCCGTGTGGGATTCTGGCTCAGTGCCAATGAGCAGCCTTGGGATGGAGAAAGTCACCACGGGGCCAGAGTGGTCCTGGGGCAAGGGAAGAAACGAGGGCTGTGTGGGCAGGACATGGCTGACACTGACTCTGGGGAGGCTGAATTGTTTGTATTATAAATATTTTTTCCTTCTTCCTTCTGCAGTGTTGCTCTGTGTCCAAGTCAGGAGTTAATATCTTCCTTGTCGAGTGTGGGTGCAGGGTAATGGGGACGTGAGCACACATATGGGGGGACAAAGGGGACCTGATAGCTCACAGGGAATCTGATGGCCCATGCAGAAAGGAAGCACTCCTGGGACATGCAGAGAGAGGCAGGGTCTGTCCTGTGTGTGAAATCGGGGGGTCTGAGCCATCCCTGGGGTGTCAGAGCAGTGGGAGCTGGAGGTGGCCGAGGGGGACAGGGAGGGCTGGGGACAGTGGTTTGGGTCTGGCTGTGCACAGTGGTCTCTGAAGGGCCATGGAGCCTGAACAGAGGGGTCTGAGGGGCTGGAGCGGGGTCTGAGGGCTGGAGGGAATGGAGTGGAAGGATGGGATGGTTTGAGAGTGGGAGCCCCCCTGCAAGCAGCCCTGGTGCATTCCCTGTGCCCAGCACCGCGCCCTCGCAGCGGCGCTC